TTTTTCCCTCTAAGATCAGAACAAGACGAGGATGTCTGATTCCACTCCTTCTGTTCAATCTTATAGTAGAATACTAACCAATGAAATAAGTCAAGAAAAGAAATAAAAGGAATTCAGACTAGAAAAGAAGTAAAACTATCTTAATTCTCAGATGACTTGATTATTTACATAGAATATCCTATAAAATCTTAAGGAAAAAAAAAGCTACTTGAATGAATATGAGAGTTCAGGAAGTTTCCAGAATACAGATGAATATGTAAAAATTAATGGGGCAGGAAATGTAACCACAACATGATACTACTACATGCCTGTTAGAATGTCTTAAAAAAAAAAAAAAAACTGACCACACCAAATGCTGGTGAGGACATGGACCAACTGGAACTTCTACATACTAACAGTGGGAATGTTAAATGGTACAACAACACTGGAAAACAATCGGTTTCTTAAGTTAAGCAGGTACCTAACATATGACTCATTCATTCTACTCAAAGGTATTTACCAAAAAAGAATAAAAGCATATGTTCATACAAAGACTCTACACGAATATTCATGGCAACTTTATTTGTAACAGTCCTCAACTGGATACAACCCAATGTCCACTGACAGGAGAAGAGATATAAAAATTATGATTTATCCATATAATAAATGCTCCTCAGCAATAAAAAGTAATAAATTATTGATAACACTCAACAACATGAATCCCAAAATAATTATTCTAAGTAAAATGTAAAGTTAAAAAAGCCAAATGAAAAAAGGATACATAGTCAATGATTCCATTTATATAAAATTCTAGAAAATGCAAACTGATTTATAGTGACAGAATAGAGATCATTGGTTGACTGGGGTTGAGCATGATGTTAAGGAATGAGAGGGCACATGGCCAAACTTTTAGGGGATGATCGATATTTTATCATCTTGAATGTGGTGATGACTTTGCGTATGTTTACATGTGTTAAACATATCAAATAGTACACTTTAAATATGTACAGCTGATTATATCTCAATAAAGCTCTTAAAAATATAAAAATTTAAACACAAATCTAAGAGGTAATTCACAAAAGTAATTCAAGTTATTATACAATAACAAAAAGTAATTAGGCTGGCAACATTCTTACCAGCTACAGTGAATACTAGAAAACGTTTGTATAAGACCTTGAAAACTACACAGTGGGTGGAGTATGGTGGCTCACACCTGTAATCCCAGCAGTCTGGGAGGCTGAGACTGGCAGATCACCTGAGGTCAGGAGTTCCAGGCCAGCCTAGTCAACATGGTGAAACCCCATCTCTACTAAAAAGTCAGAAATTAGCCAGGCATGGTGGCGCAGACTGTAATCTCAGCTTTTCAGGAGGCTGAGGCACGAGAATCACTTGAACCCAGGAGGTGGAGGTTGCAGTGAGCCGAGATTGTGCCGCTCCACTCCAGCCTGGAAGACAGAGTGAGACTCGGTCTCAAAACAAACAAACAAACAAAAAACTACAGAGTGAAAATAATGTCCAACCTAGAATCCTATGTCCACTCAGATCACCAATCAAGTGTGAAAGCAGAGAACAAAGGTA